CTTCACTTCACTTCACTTCATTTCAATGGTGGGTATATGTGTTGGTCAGAACTCATTGACTGGTCCAGTTAACCTAGGTGCATTTGTTGTGTGTAAATTATACTTCAGTAATGCTGATTTTATAATGGAGAAATTAACTGACAAAAACCTTCTAGGACTGAAAAAGAATAGAATACCTACATAGTCTACAATCATAAAATAAATTGAATAAGCAGTCAAAAATATTCCCACAAAGCAAATTCCATGATCAGAGAACTTCATCACTAAATTCAATCATATAATCAAGAAAGAAATACTTCCAAACAGTCACAAATGACTCCAGATTATAGAAAACATATCATTTAACATATTCTTAGTACCAAAGCCTGGCATGGAAGGTACAAGGTAGAAAAATAACAGGTCAGTCTTACTCATGAATATAAATTCAAAAGTCCTAAATGAATAAAACATTAACAAACCAGTAATAAAAGAAAAAGGTAATACATCATGACCAAATGGGTTATCCCAGATATAGAGTTTAGTAACATTAGAAAAATCAATTAATTTAATCCTTCACATGAACAGGAATGAAGAATTAAAACCATATATTCATCTTATAAACAAAGAAATTATTCAATAATATTGCCACCCATTAATGATTAGCATTTTGAGCAAATTAAGAATAGAAGGGAACTTCTATAACTTGATTAGAGATATTTATAAAAAGCCTATAGCAAATATCATATCTAAGATTGAAATCTTTCCGTCTGAGGTCAGAAACTGGACACAAAGATGCTTGTTATTTGGTGAGAAAGAAAATACCTAAATAAAGAAAGAAAGAAAGAAAAGAAAATACCTATTATTTGCAAAAAATCTGATCATGTAGCAATAAAAATTGTTACAGATAAATTATTTCAATTTATAGGAATGCTTAATAAATTAAAAGAATCAACTTAAAAATTAATTGCACAAACAACCCAATTTAAAAATGGTCAAGGTACACAAATAGATATTTCTCCAAAGAAGATATACAAGTGGCCAATAAATATGAAAAGATCCTCAACATCATTAGGTATTAAGAAAACAGAAATCTGAACTACAATGAGATACCACTTCACACCTTCTAGGAGGCCTATTACGAAAAATGGAAGATAGTAAGTATTGGTGAGGCTGTAGAGAAATTGGAACCCTCCTATGTTACTGGATCCAACATGAGAAACGCTGGGCTGGAAGAAGCACAAGCTGGAATCAAGATTGCTGGGAGAACTATCAATAACCTCAGATATGCAGATGACACCACCCTTATGAAAGAAAGTGAAGATGAACTAAAAAGCCTCTTGATGAAAGTGAAAGAGGAGAGTGAAAAAGTTGGCTTAAAGCTTAACATTCAAACTAAGATCATGGCATCTGGTCCCATCACTTCATGGCAAATAGATGGGGAGACAGTGGAAACAGTGGCTGACTTTATTTTTCTGGGCTCCAAAATCACTGCAGATGGTGATTGCAGCCATGAAATTAAAAGAAGCTTACTCCTTGGAAGGAAAGTTATGACCAACCCAGATAGCATATTAAAAAGCAGAGACATTACTTTGCCAACAAAGGTTCATCTGGTCAAGGCTGTGGTTTTTCCAGTGGTCATGTGTGGATGTGAGAGTTGGACTGTGAAGAAAGCTGAGCACCGAAGAATTAATGCTTTTGAACTGTGGTGTTGGAGAAGACTCTTGAGAGTCCCTTGGACTGCAAGGAGATCCAACCAGTCCATCCTAAAAGAGATCAGTCCTGGGTGTTCATTGGAAGGACTGGTGCTGAAGCTGAAACTCCAGTACTTTGGCCACCTCATGCGAAGAGTTGACTCATTGGAAAAGACCCTGATGCTGGGAGGGATTGGGGGCAGGAGGAGAAGGGGACCATAGAGGATGAGATGGTTGGATGGCATCACCAACTAGATGGACATGGGTTTGAGTAAACTGGGAGTTGGTGATGGACAGGGAGGCCTGGCATGCTGCGATTCATGGGGTCGCAAAGAGTCGGACACGACTGAGCGACTGAACTGACTGACTATGTTACTGGGAATGCAAAATGGTTCAGCCACCGTGGAAACAGTTTGGCTGCTCCTCGAAAAGTTAAACATAGAATTACCATATGACACAGCAATTCAAAAGAATTGAAAACAGGGACTCAAACAGATACTTGTACCCAAATGTTCATAGCAGCCTGATGAAGGGTGATGGAAATATTTCGGAAATAGATAGTGGCGATAGTTTGCGTAACATTGTGAGTATAATTAATGCCACTGAATTGTACACTGAAAAATAGTTAAAATGGCAACTTTTATGTTGTATATATATTTTAGCACAATAAAAAGAAAACATCAACTGCTCATCTATACCAGCAAGAATTCAAAAATGAAATTTTAACAAAGTAAATTTCAAAATAGCATAAAACTTAACAAATAACCTAGAATAAACCTAACAAAGTATGTAGAAGGCTTCTTTGAAGAAAATGAGAAAATTTTATTGATAAATTTTTAAGATGAACTAAGTAAAAAGAGAAATATACTGTATCCAATGATTGGAAGACTCAGAATTATACAGATGTCAGTTTTATACAAATTAAGCTACAGATTCAATATAATCACAATCCCAATATATATCCTATTTAGTTTAGTTTTTAATCCATAATTTTTAATTTGTCAGTCATACCTCAATAAAGCTTGTTTTTGTTGCACCAAAACACAAGGGAAACACAAGTGGCCAAGAAAAAAACAAGACATACTTAAAGAAGAATAAATAAGGTGGCGGACTTGCCCTACCATTCCTCAAGACTTATTATAAAGTTTTAATAAGTAAGACATTATAATTTGGTGCAAGGATAGACAAAGTGACCACTAAAGCAGAACACAGAGCTGAGAAACAGACCCACACATGTACAGATACTTGATTAGAGACAGAAAAGCAGTGGGGAAAGTACTTTAAAAAAAAATCATGAATGGAGCTGGATCAAACTGAAATTGGATCCCCACCTCACACCATACACAAAATGTACTTCAGGTAAATTACAGACTTTGAAGTAAAACAACACTACAAAACTCTTGTAAGATAATTTAAGAAAAAAATGATCATAACCTCAAAATAAGAAAGACTTCTTTTTAAAAAAATAAATATTTATTTGGTTTCGTTGGGTTGCTGCAAGCGAGATTTTATTGCATCATGTGGGATTTTTCACTGTGGCTGGTGCCACAGTGCATCCTTTGTGGCTGACTATGATCATTGTCATTCCACCTGGGATGTGGTAGTGCTTCTGATTTAATATCTTGGCAGGGGTAGGGGGTACTTTCTACTTTGACAGTTCTTATTTCAGGAAACCAATATAGGGGTTCTGCCTTCTGCCAAGTACATCTATTTCAATTATGTATTCAGGGACCAGGAAACTAACCACCGGCCTATTGGACCCACTGTGGGAATGATGGCTCTCCTTTTATCACTTGGCCTCTGGATGCCGCCACTCTAATACATGCCCATGATGGCATTTTGATCCCCCTTATATCTGTCAGCTCAGATCCTGTACCCAAAAGCCTTGAAAGAGCTGAGTCTTTCGCCCTGAGAAATGGCTTTGGAGGAGGAGTGAGATAATTACTATGATATAAGCTTGTTGTGGCATTCTAAGATTCTTCCTGAAGGGCACTGTCCTCCCCTTTGATTAATGGATTCTGTAGCTGAAAAATGGCTAGGGTATGGAAACTAGGTGATGGATTGTGATTTTTTTCCTTCACAGTGTCTGACATCAGCCTTCTGTTTATACATTCTTGCTTTTTATATAAAAAAATTATTTATTTGGCTGTGCCAGGTCTCAGATGAGGCACACGGGATCTGCAATCTTCATTGAGGCATGTGGAATCTCTAGTTAATGCATGCAAACTCTAAATTATGGCATGTGGAATTTAGTTCCCTGACCAGGGACTGAACCCAGGGCCCCTGCATTGGGAGCAAGGAGTCTTACCCACTGGACCACCATAGAAATCTCAACTTATTTTTGGTTATATAAATTCAGAAATACCCTCATTAGCTATCCACCTACCTAGGAAGATCATGGTCTTCCATGTGAAGACCATTAGCGATCACAGTAGATTACAGTTTTCCATTTTGGTCTTTTTGCACATATGATAATTACATCCACCTTGACTCTGATGACTAAGTGCCATCACCTGGCCTCTGTTCTGGGTTCCTGTCATACCCATTGACTCCACTACTATCAACTTTGGCCTGCAGAGAATAGCCCCTCCTGAGTGGCAAATGATGCTGGTGTCTCTCCAACAACTGGCACATTTCTTTCTTTTTTTTTTTGGTTAAATTTTATTATTGACTGCACTGGGTCTTTGCTGTGGCACACAGGCCCTTCATTGCTGTGTGTGGGCTTTCTCTAGGTGCGGTGAGCAGGGGCTACTCTCTAGTTGTGGGGCGTGGACTTCTCCCTGCCGTGGCTTTCCTTGTTTCAGAGCATGGGCTCTAGGCTCTTGGGCTTCAATAGTTGCAGCACAAGGACTCAGTAGTTGTGGCACATGGGCTTAATTGCCCCACTGCATGTGGAATCTTCCTGGACCAGGGATTGATCCAGTGTACACTGCATTTACAGGCAGATTCTTAACCACTGGACCACTAGGAAAGTTCCAATAAAGCATATGTCTTCTCACTTATTTAAGGGAGTATCTTTGGGTCCTCATGAGGAACACAAGAAGCTGGAGGGTTCTCTGGTCTTATATAATGATAATAATTTCATTCTGGTGAGCTCATCTTTCTGAACCTTTTGACCTTTCCCCAGTACTCTGTCATGGAAATGCTAGCATCTCCACCTCATTTGCTGTAACACATGGTTTCCTCCAAACTTTGATGCTCTATCCCAGTAGCATATTGCAACTGGCTTCAGATGTCCTTGCTAGGGCTTTAAAACATTAAATGCTTAGTCATGCACTCGAGGCCGTCTCTGGAGCCCTTGGAGGGAGCAGAGAGCTGGGCGGGTGCGAGATGGCCCTGGTGCCCTATGTGGAGACCGCGGAGATGGGGCTGCAGAGATTCCACAAGCCTCTGGCCACCTTCTCCTTTGCAAACCACACGATCCAGATCCGGCAAGACTGGAAGCAACTGGGAGTCGCAGCGGTGGTTTGGGACGCGGCTGTCGTTCTTGCCACGTATCTGGAGATGGGCACTGTGGAGCTCCGGGGCTGCTCTGCTGTGGAGCTGGGTGCTGGCACAGGGCTGGTGGGCATAGTGGCTGCCCTGCTGGGTGCTCATGTGACTATCACGGATCGAAAAGTAGCATTAGAGTTTCTTAAATCAAACGTTCAAGCCAATTTACCACCCCATATCCAGCCCAAAGCTGTTGTTAAGGAGCTGACTTGGGGACAAAATTTGGGGAGTTTTTCACCTGGAGAATTTGACCTGATACTTGGAGCTGATATCATATATTTAGAAGAAACATTCGCAGATCTTCTTCAAACATTGGAGCATCTCTGTAGCAACCACTCAATGGTTCTTTTAGCTTGCCGAATTCGCTATGAACGGGATTACAACTTCTTAGCAATGCTGGAGAGGCAATTTACTGTGAGCAAGGTTCACTATGATTCTGAAAAAGACGTACATATTTACAAAGCACAGAGGAGATGCTTGAGAGAGGACTTGTAATTGGTTCTAATTTATAAGAATGTCATCACTGAGTGTATCAATTAAGGTCTTACGTGGGGAATATAATCATATAATAAAGTAGTCTGCTGTAAAAGTTTAACCAAAGGTTCTCGAAAGACAAAGCAAATGTGCAGTTTTCAAACAAAGCAGCACTTTGTCCCATTGCTGTGACTTCTTTAGTTATATTTTACTAACTCTGAAATTCAACTAACATTAAAGGAAAGTGTGAGATTTTGGTTTTTGTTGTTTCTGTATCCCATATGCTCCCTCTCAATAAATAATTTTCATTGATGCTGTGATGAAGGGTTGGTATAAAGAACTTGTTTTGGTGAGGCTATGTCATGCAAATCATTTAAAACACATTGTAAGACATATGTTTATCCCAGTTTTCTAATTTTCTGAGTATAAGACAAGAAGTTTAATGTACATTCCCTGAGCTATTAATACTATTGAACTCTTTTGTCTGATGTATTTAGGCCTTAAGTACTTTTGGTTACTAGAGATTAGGATGTGAGTTTTCTGAGGTCTCATATGCTTTTTTGGTGTAATTTCAGATTTAGGTATATAAACAAAAGAGTAAATAAAAATAAAATTTTAGTTATAAAAAAAAATAAAATAAATGCTTAGTCATGGTAGAGTATCCCAGATCAATATAAACTCTCCACTCTCCAGCCTTTTATTACACTCCATGACCCTAGGCCAGCACCCTCAAGAACTGTTCTCAAGCATGTTCTCCCAATTTCTGCTGCTACCTTAGCCAGATCCTCAGCACTTTTTGGTGAATAATCCCTTTCTCCCCTTAGCTAAGATAGTACTTCGCCACTTGCTCCAGGTTGAGACTTGCCCATGGTCATGTCTCTAGAATCCTGGAGTGGGATCAGGGCCAGATCTTGAAGAGAACAAGTATCATCTTGTGAGGCATCTGCCTCAGGTGAGGACTTTGCATCTTATCTGGCAAGGAGACACTGCTCTCTTCCATCAAGGGAGAAAGGCCACGTCTACCGGCCCTATTGGTTCAGGATAATAAGGGGATTCTAGAACAGATGTTTCCATACCAGATCTCAGTGTCCCACTCCTTCCCTCCCTCCTGCTACTTTCACAGCATTATGGGATTGGTTTTCAGCACAGTGTAGCCACACTGGCTACAGATGAGAACTTCCTTGAGTGCTGCCCTAGAAGACTCCTGGGTTTTGCACTGTATCCTGAGTTAATAGCCATTGTGAGTCTGTTGTATTTTTTTCTTTTAGCAATTTGATGGCATTTACCAATGACTGACTCCACAATCCTTTTAATTCCCATCTCCCTCCCGTATCACAATTACTAGAGATATGCACAGATGGTGTGTCCCTATATTCACCAGGATGAGAGTTTTAGTAATCGTGCTGGTGCTCAGCACCCTACTTACCCCAGCCACGGAATTCTTTTTTTTTTTTTGCCTCGAATTCTTGTTGTCATTTGGATGGTGAGTGATCCAATTCCAGAATCCCATGCAGGGGATCTGCTTCCTAGGATCACTTCAGATACCAACTGGGTTTGGCAGGGGAGGGAGGTTCCCCTAGGAATAAAACCTCAGTTGAAGATTTGAAGGCATGTACATTTTTTGAGGTTTTTTTTTTCATCTTGTTTTGGTCACGCCATGAGGCATGTAAAAAAATTAGTTCCCTGATGAGGGATAGAACCCAAGTTCTCTGCAGTGGAAGTTCAGAGTCCTAACCACTAGACTACCAGGGAATTCCCATATTTGAGAACTGATGCTAGTGGTAAAGAACCCACCTGCCAATGCAGGAGAGGTAATATCCCTGGGTTGGGAAGATCCCCTGGAGGAGGGCATGGTAATCCATTCCAGTATTCTTGCCTGGAGAAACCCATGGACAGAGGAGCCTGGCGGGCTATGGTCCAGAGGGTTGCAAAGAGTCATACACGACTGAAGTGACTCAGCATGCACACACATGAGGAACTACCTCCAAGTAAGTGAGAAAGTGACACAGAAAAGAGAAGAAGGCTGGTAAAGGCTGCACTATCAAGGAAATTAAGCATGTGGACTGGAACTTAGTTCTGCTGGGGACTCAGGAAGCCAGTAATGATGAAGCCTCAGAATTATCCAACCAGATGGCTGAGAGAACTGGGGTGTTTATCCACCAGTCTCCATCAGTTATTGCCTGAGGGTTGCTGAAGATGGGAGTAGAATTCCTGAGAATGTTCTGCCTGCCTAGCATCTGACTAGTGCAGCTTCAGTGGCCAGAGAGAGCCCTCGGGTAGCGTTGCAGTTTTCTGGCAGCTGGAAGTTTGTCCACTGTACCCCAGTGCTTAGGGAGTGTGGAAGGGATGCTGATAACATCTGCTACACCAAGGGGAGGAATCCTTTCACTAGACACAACAATGGTTCCACTCATCTGACAGCAATCCAATTCTGAGGATCTCGATTATTCACAAATGAAGTGGTCACCTGACATGGTTTAAAAAACAGCCAACTGAGGTGTTGTTGGCTAAGGGCAAAGTGAAAATGAAATGAGTAATGGAACAGGAAATTCTAAATATCAACTTCTAACCAGTTACAGAAATAAGGACTGTAGAAGCTATGGGTATTTTCTTGCTTGCTTGTTTTATATTATATACTCTGTGCGTGTGTATATATACATATATATATATATGTATGTATATAATTTTTTCCTTCCTTCCTTTGCTTTATTATCCTATAAAAGGATTGTTGTTGGTAGTGAGATTTATTATTTAGCCTTTAGGTTCCTTTAGAGAAAAATGTGTTTCCCTGGTGGCTCAGTGGTAAAGAATCTACCTGCCAATGCAGGAGACGTGGGTTTGATCCCTGGCCAGGAAGAGTCCCCTGGAGAAGGAATTGGCAACTCACTCCAGTATTCTTGCCTGGGAAATCCCATGGACATCGAACCCTGTGGGCTACAGTCCATGGGGTCTCAAGGGGTCAGACATGACAGCGACTAAACAACAACAAAAGAGAAAATGTGGCTGAACTCAGAAAAGTGTTATCATCACCCAGAGATGGATATTGTTACTGCAGAGACTTTGCAACTCCACTTTGTGGGGAGGGCGCTAGAGCACAGACCCTTGTACCAACGACCAACAACAATTACATCTTTTTTTTTTTGCACAATTGCATCTTAATGGGCAAAGGCATGAAGCTGTTATTGTTCAAACATGTATAGAAAAGTTGTGCGCACATGCTGAGCAGAAGGTCCCTGCTTTCTCTGTGCAGGTTATTTACTTCTTGCTTTCCCTGGTGGCTCAGTCAGTAAAGAATCTGCCTGCAATGTGGGAGACCCAGGTTAGATCCCTGGGTTGGGAAGATCCCTTGGAAAAGGGAATGGCAATTCCAGTATTCTTGCCTAAGGAATTCCATGGACAGAGGAGCCTGGCAGGCTACAAATCATGGGCTTGCAAAGAGTCAGACACGACTGAGTGACTAACACTAACACTTTTCTGCTCCAAATTCATTCTTCATGACTCTCTTTTCACTGATGCTGGTAGGGGAGAGAAAAACTCTGCAAATTTGTTTCCCAGACTTCATTACTAACTGACTTCCCATTAGGTTCTAATAGGAGGCACTAGAGGGAGATGGAAGGCAGGAGGAGAAGAGAAGGGACATCTTCCTGTTTGAGGGGTTTTGTTCAGGGTCACTGTGTCATTGGAAGTTGGCTCCAGCCTTCAGCTTTTTTCTGTGTTCTGAGAACCAGCGTTCTAGATGGCTCTTTTTGTAGATGGTACCAGCGGCAGCCCACCAGTGGCTCTGGCTGAGTCTGAGCCCTACCTGGGCTCCCACCTCTTCCCTCGTGTTCTCTCAGCCCTGCTGCTTTCTCTAGTTACGAGTTCCACTACTTCCATGTTGTCTGTGCTTTCTCTTTTCGCTTTTTTATTCTTCCAGTATGACCAAATCTCATCTATTTCAAATACCTCATATGGCTTCTGTTTTTCTGACCTGGCCTTGTCTGGTGCACAAAGTGACCCTCAATGGTAAAACAGATAAATTGCGGTAGAGATATACACTGAAATAGTATACTGGGGAAATGAATCTCCCTAATGTGGTACTGAAAGAAGCAAATTACAACTGAATTCAAACAGTGTGACTCCATTTCTTCTAAGCCTAAACACTGGCAACATTGAACTGTATTTTTTTTACTGATGGATGTGTAGGTGGTAAAACTATAAAGAAAAGCAAGAAAATGCTCACTGCAAAAGTCTGGATAGTAGTTCTCTCTCACAGGGATGGATGAAGATGAGATCTGGGAAAAGCATTATGAGAAGTCGTGTGGGGCTGGTGATGTCTTATTTCTTGATCACTGAGGCTATGACAAAGCTGTGTGCTTTGTAAATATTCTTTAAGCTGCACATATGTGATTTAGGTGCTCTTTCACGCATTTGATATAGCTTGCAATTGAAAAACAAAAGAACAAACATCATGATTGCCCCTGGCAATGAGTCTGGAGGGAGGAAGACTAAGGTGAGGCAAGAGGGAAAAAGCAGAGAGGATGGGCTGAAAAGACTAATTCTGAGGCCCCAGAAGCCAAGAATTGAGGCTGAGGCTGAGTGAGCAGGAGATCTGTGCTGGAGTCAGGACCTCCCCAGTCCCCAGGGAGTCAGACCAAGATTGGGAATTTCTACAGGTCTTTCATCTCTCCCTCCTCTGTTTGTGCTAATGGAGGGTCCCTGCCTGCTGGTCATTTTCAGATGTGGGTCCCCATCCGGATCAGTGTGGAGACACTGACCAGCCACTATCGAGCAGAGTCAACCCAGACAGTGGGCAGAGTTGGAGAACGGACATTCCTGAGGCCAGATGGAGAAACTGGATGAAGCTCTTGTGATCAACACAGAAAGCCTTTCTGTGGGAGCTGGGGATTTCAGTGGTTGAAAGAGAACAGGCTAAATAGAGGAATGGAGCATGTGGGAGCAGTGATGTGAGAGAGCAACGGGTAGTATGGAAGCCAGACTGTCCGTCTGTTTCCCCCACCTTCCCTAAGATGCAACCACCTAAAAGATGCAACCAGCACTGTAAATCAACTATACTCCAAGTTAAAAAAAAAAAACAAACACGGAAAATGGATGCAGCCAGCTTTTCTGGCCTTGAAGAGAGGGTTGATGGTACCCTGCAGCAATTCGGGCAGCCAAGGGGTTAATCCTCAAACCAGCTGCCTCTGGGGTGGTGTGAGGAGGTAGGACTCAGAAGCAGTTACTTGGCACCACTATGGGCATCAGCTCTACTGCTAGGAACCTCCACAGAGCCCAGGCCTTCAGCTGCCAGTCTACTCTCCACTCTGTCCCGAGGGGTTCCAGGAGCAGGGCTCCTATGGTTTATTCTGGATTCCCATCCCCCACCCTACAGCGGTGGACTCTGCCGGCTGGCGCAGACGAACCGAGCCCGGGGGCAGACAGATAGGGTTTCCGACTGCTCCTTGGTCTCCAGGGTCGATAGCGTAGGGCCACCCGCGCTCTCTGGACGCAGACCTGGCCTGGCCTCGCTGGGAATGCCGATAGACAACGGGTGGGAGGAGGGGGCCGGGATAAAGGTGAGGAGAAATGAGAAGACTTCTGAGATAGACACCACTGATCAGGGGGCAGAAACAAGGGAGTAGAGGCGTCGGGACGCAGAGACGTGAGACGTGGGGTCCTGGGCTCTGAGCTAGGGAGTGGAGGGCAAGCCAGAAGCCCCCTTTCTTCCTTCCAATCTCTGCCTCTCCCTGGGACCCTCTCGGCGCTCCCTGAGGCCCCTGCCCTCTCCCCTCCCCCCAAATCCTGCACCCTCTGCGGATTGGTCCCTGGCCTGCCGGGGGGCGGGGCTCGAGGGCTTTGACGTCACCGGCCGAGGGGGGCGGGCGGCTAGGGGAGGGGGTGACGGGCCCCGGCTCAGCACCTCGGAGAGTTCCCTCCCCGGCCTTGTTTTGCTTCGGAATCGCCGCCGGGGGAGGGAGCCAGGGGGCCGGGCAACACGCGCAGTGGCTGGAGGATGGCCGTGGAGGGGTCGACGTGCCCCGGCGGGCAGAGGGCCCAGCGGTGATCCGGCGGTGGAGGGCCGGGGCGCCGGGCAGGGTGAGGGGCAGCTGGCGGCGGCAGCAGTGGCCACACATCTGGATGGAAGCGAGCTTTGTCCAGACCACCATGGCTCTGGGGTTGTCCTCCAAGAAAGCGTCTTCCCGCAATGTGGCCGTGGAGCGCAGGAACCTGATCACCGTGTGCAGGTGGGCACCGCCGGCGGGCGGGGGTGGGGTGGTCAAGGAGAGGCGGCGGGGCCGGCTGGATGCGAGGATGCACAGCAGACGCGAAGAAAAGGGAGGCAGCACAGGGTTAAGAGCAGCGCGCGTCCGCTATCCTCAGACCCAGGCTTGGAGAGGGTCTGGAGATCTGGTCCCTACCCTTCCTTCTAGGCCAGGCTAGGCCAGGCCGGTGCCCAGGCTGGGGCCTGGAGGGTGAGGGGTGTTTAATTGGCACTGCAGCTTCCTGTGAGAACCAGGAAGTGACATTGTCTGTGAGGGGGAGGGGTGGGGAGGGCTGGCTCCCTTGCTGGGGGCGGGAGCTGGGTGGGCAGAGAACTGATGGGAGAGGGGAATGAACGCCCTCCAAGCATGTCCTCACGCCCACCCCTGCCAACCTGGCCTCTCTGGGGTAGGGCTTTTCTGGGAGATTTCGCAATGCTCAAATCCTGGAGCAGGGGTGGTGCCCTCCTCCATCTCTGGGCAGTTACAGCCCATGGCAGGGTCAACCGGGCATGTAGGTGAAGTCCCTGAATCCATCCAGTGAAGGCACAGCACTGCCCCTGTGGTGGGAAGGACTGAGGGCCTGACCGCAGAAGGTGGGTTCTCCTGGGCTCAAGTGGAGGAGATTGGGAGGGCCAAGCCCTTGGTTCCCAAGGGTGGGGTTGTCGCAGTGTTGGGAAGACTTGCCTGCTTTCTTGGGGCCCAGAAAGTGAAACTTCCCACTCCCCAGCCCCGCAGTGGCTCACTCTCCCTGCCCTGAAGCCAGGAATGACCAGTCCTCAGCCCCCACCTGCACTCATCTCTCCCCCTCTGAGCCCCCTGCCAGCTGCCTTCTCCACCTGCAATCTCCCCTCTGTCCCACGCCACCTCTGAGGGCTCAGCTGTCTTCCCTTGCCAGCCCCACCTGCCTGCATACCAGCCTTGGTTCTGCTCCCTCCCCCAGGAATCAGTGCCCCCCTGATGCCCTGGGTCTGTCTCCTACAACTCTTCCAGGTTCCTGGGTGCACACCCTGCTCTACTACGTCTGTCTCATACCATTGTATCCCCAGTGCCTAGCATGGTGCTGTGCACACATGACCTCTTTAAAATGCCTGGAACGTTAGAGAAGGAATGAGTGGCAGTGGCCCAGCCCAAATGCAGGCCTCTGCCTCCATGCTCACCTCCCAGGCCCTGCCAGTGTGGTGTAAAACACAGATGGTCCTAGGTTCAGGCTTTTCTTCAGTTATTAGCTGTACCACTTGGTGGGAGTCTCCTAACCACTCTGGGCCTTGGGTGTCTTACTATCTCCATTGTAGATGTAATAGCCACACCAAGGAATGGTAATGACATGATGCATGTTGGACGCCTGGCACATGAAAACAGCCCATCCCGATGCCATCCTTCCTGTCCCTCTCATCTCTCTTGACCTCCTAGGTTCTTCTTCCTTCTCTTGCCTGCCAGGACAGCTGGGACTGCTGAAAGTGTAGGGAAGGGACGAATGCCCCTGGGCCTCAGCAGCAGAAGCAGATGTTCTAGGGGACTGAAAGTGGGGTTAGAGCTGGAATGTGAGGGTTAGAGTTGGCGGGAGGATTGGGAGCATGACAGAGGCTCAGAAACCCCTCCAGCCCCTGCCGCCTCATCACAATCACGTGGTTCGCCTCCAGCTCCGGGAACAGTTCCCTTTAGCAGGCCGAGGGCTCCCCTGGGCCCTGGCTGCCCTGTCTCCATGGTAACCTGCAGCAGCCACTGCACCTCTGAGCAGGGAACACACCATGGGGCTCCCGGGGGCGATGACCAGCTCCATAGCACCCCTGAGGACAGATGGCAGATGGCTGCCATGCTGAAACCAGCCACAGGCCCCCACTGAGGTCTGACCCAAATGACCAGAAGACAACACAGGAGCAGGGCTGTATAATAAAGCCCAGATAGTGCCCTAAACATAGACTCCTTCTGGCCATGCCATTAATGGCCCAGTTCCTTGCCACCCCTGCCCCATGGCTTGCTCACTCACCTTCTCCCACACTTTTCCTGGAATTTGAACCAAAATTTGATGAGACAGGTACTATTATTCTTGTTTGCACCTGGTGAAGATGGGCCTTGGAGAGATTAAGTGACTTGTCCAAGGCCACAAAGGTACCACAAGGATACAGGATTTGAGTCCACCCAGGCTGCCTCCCTTGGTACAACCCCAGCACTGACCTGACTCTTATCTCAGGCCAGACCAACTCAAAGGGAAGGGAGTGAGGTCTGTGGGCTTAGTTGTGCCACTGGCCTAGAGCCTTGGAGGCCAGTGTCCAAGGGTTGGAGCACGGAGTGGAGGACAGAGTGTGGAGGAGGCAGGGGCTGCTTGGGGCCTCAGTGATCCTGACATCCACCAGGAGGCCCCAGAAAGAGCAAGGGCGTTGGGATCAGACATACCTGTTGACGCCTCACAAGCAGTGTGACTTCGAACCGACCAGTCAATCTCTTAGACCCTCAGTAACCGGGGTAATGGTGATACTAAGAGGACCTTCCTCCCAAGGCTGTCAGGATAGATGAGATGACACATACAGAGTATAGCGCTGGGCACATTACAGGACTGGATGAGCTTAGAGAAAGAAGGGTGGTTCCAAGCAGCCCCCATATCCCTGGATACATCCCCCCTGCTGTGCCACCCACAGAGGGGCCATGATGGGATGCTGGGAACCATGTCCTCATCCCTGCCCCACCCCGCTGCAGCGATGGCAGGTGGAGACTGCAGGCCTAGGGACTGTAGAGGGAGCCCAGGCGCTGGGTGGATTGGAGGGAGGGTGGGGGCTGCTGGGCTCCAGTCTCTCAGCCCCATTGGCTTCCCCTGGCTTCCTTCCTCTCTGAGAGGCCAGGTGTCTGGGCCCTCAAGCCCCCGTCCAGAGATCTGCTGCCAATGCCCCCTCCCACCCACTGTGTGTGTCAGACCCGCACCCTGCACCTCCCCCTGCCCAGTTCTGCACTGCCTGGTTCTGGGCAGCTGGTGTGTGGGTGGCCGAGCTAGGAAGGAAAAGGGGGAAGGGGGGCATCCGTGTGCTGGGGGTCCACCTGGCCACCCATGCCTGCCCACGCTCCATGTGCTTGGTGCAACTCACATGCTCTGGCACAGGTGACCCCACCCCCACCCCAGAAGGGACTGGAGAATGTTCTAGCAATAGCAGAAGGCAGCTCAGGACAGGGGCACAAAGCAACTCCCACCTCCGAGCCAACCCCCACCCTTCTCTGACAGACAGAACGCAACTCCAAAGGGCGGGTGATCAGCAAGAGGCTCTGGGCTGGCCCCCTGGCTCCAGGTGCCTCATCCTTCTACCTGTTGTTTCATCCCCTCTCATACTTGTTCCTGAAGCTTCCCTTCTCTGCCTCTCCGTCACCCACTCTGTCAGTCTCCCATATGCCACCCTACTCGCCCACATCACAGCCCTTCTCTGGTCACTACAGCCTCTCTTGTCCCCCACCCTCTTTCCCTCTGCCTTCCTACCACATCCATGCTCCTGGTGATCTCTTCTTATCCTGCCTTTTACCCCCATTACCCTGTCTTCTCACCTGACACCCCACTGCCCCTTCTCCCTCCCTCTCACCCAGGTTCTCCGTGAAAACCCTGCTGGAGAAGTACACAACGGAGCCCATCGATGACTCATCCGAGGAGTTTGTGAATTTTGCAGCCATCTTAGAGCAGATCCTCAGCCATCGTTTCAAAGGTGGGTCCAGGTTCCTGTCCCCTATTGCTCCCAGCTACCCCTTTCTGATCTACTCTGTGGCTGTCTGAACCCCATCATTGACCCTGGTCCCAATTCTAGATCATGCACAGAAGCTCAAGCACAGAGTTGGGAAAGGGGGGCACAATACAGGGGTACCCACAAGCCCCAGCAGTGAGCCTTGTGTGTACATGTATGTGTGGGTATGTCTGTTTGGGGTAGGCATGATGCATGTGTATGGCTGCTTTTATTTATGCATGTGCATGCCCCATTACATGGACCCTCTCCAAACTCCCTGGTCTTGCTGAGCCTGCTCCCTGCCCTGGCTCAGCCTGTGCCCCAGCAGGTCCGGTGAGCTGGTTCAGCTCAGATGGGCAGCGAGGCTTTTGGGACTACATCCGCCTGGCCTGCAGCAAAGTGCCCAACAACTGTGTGAGCAGCATCGAGAACATGGAAAACATCAGTACCGCCCGGGCCAAGGTGAGCGGCCTGCAGCAGGCAAGGCCAGGGCAGCTGCTCCCTCCTCTGGATACAGAGGGGCTGCTTGCTCCTTGGTCCTCACCCCAGCCCACAGGCACAGGGGAGAAGGGCCACAGGAGGTCCAGACCCAGGGGCACACACACAGGTCCCTCTGGGGCAGCCAGTAAAAGTGAACGTGCTTTCCAGGGCCGGGCATGGATTCGGGTGGCACTGATGGAGAAGCGCATGTCAGAATACATCACCACAGCCCTGCGGGACACTCGGACCACCAGGTCAGACCCCCTCAATCAGTGTGGACCACAAGTCCCAGGGTGTACATTCACTGCCTAAACACACTTGATCCTCAAGTTGTGGCTGCAACCTTCAGTATCTGGACTACAACTACCAGCATGCACTGCTAGCTTTCCCCTCCCAGACCGTCCACCCATCAGCTGGGCCAGCCAGTCCCAGAACACACTTTTAGCGCCACCACCATCTCTTCCAAGTCAAATTCATTGACCCCCATGACCCCCAGTGCTGGTCTCATGCACATAGCTCTGGACAAGCCTCAACTATGTATTATTTTACTTGTTGGCCTCATTCCATGACCTATAGCACACAGCTCTACCTGCTCTGCAAACAGCAGCAGCAGTCTGTACTTGCTACCCATGGACTTCAGAGTCCCAGGGGACAGAGTTTCAGTCTGTACATTGTGGGTCTGCAGAGATATTGGGTCCGGGAGGCAGGGTCACAAGCAAGATGTGCCAAAGGGGTAAATGAGTACAGTAGGGACATGTGCCTCGCTACCCCACTCACGTGGTCACACCCAAACTGATGTTTTTGGCTGCACTGTATCTCTGCTGTGTCCTTACATTTTGGGATTCACATTAACATATATTTTTTAAAATCGACTGTATGCCAAAATACTTCCCTGGTAGCTCAGACGGTAGAGAATCTGCCTACAATGCAGAAAACTTGGGTTCTATTCCTGGGTTGGGAAGATCCCCTGGAGAAGGGAATGGCAACCCACTCCAGTATTCTTGCCTGGAGAATCCCATAGACAGAGGGGCCTGGTAGGCTACAGTCCATGGGGTGGCAAAGAGTTGGACACGACTGAGAGACTAACATTTATATGCCAAGCACTGTTTAGGACTTGTTTCCTGATTTTAAGGATCTGGGTGACTCTGTACTTGGTGGAGAAAGGGTAGTTCAGAGGGATGGAGGTCGAATCTCAGGGGACACGCGTTTTAATAGGTGGGAGACAAGGCGCTATCCCCAGTGGGCCCCAGTCTGAGGGGGAGACAAGATCCACAGTGAGGGGTGAGCAGGAAAAAAGGTACCTCCTTCCTGCAGGCAAGGTTTGTGATAAGCCAACAGGAGAAGCCCTGAGGTGTGGGGCCCCCTGGGAAGACTACATTGCCGGTACCTCCCCCCTTCCACAGACGCTTCTACGACTCAGGAGCCATCATGATGCGGGAGGAAGCCACGGTCCTCACTGGGATGCTGATCGGACTGAGCGCCATAGACTTCAGGTGGGGTCTGGGTGGCGGTGGCGGTCGCCGTGACGGTGGGATTGGGGTTGTTTCTCTGCGAAAGTCCGTCCACACTCCCATCGTCTCATACCTGCCCCCCAGCTTCTGCCTAAAGGGCGAAGTGCTGGACGGGAAGACCCCCGTGGTCATCGACTACACGCCCTACCTAAAGTTCACTCAGAGGTGAGCAGCTCGATTGTTGCGGAGGTGGGCGGGTGCTGACAGACGACGGCCCTGAGGGGTGGGAATGGCGGGCGGGAGGCAAGCGGTCTGGGCATCATGCCGCCCCCCTGCCCCCCGCCCCCGGCTCAAGAGGCTTGTCTGTGTAACTGTGTAACCTTGGCTGTGTGACTGCTCCCTCCCTCAAGCTACGACTACTTGACGGACGAGGAGGAGCGGCACAGCGCCGAGAGCAGCACGAGCGAGGACAACTCGCCCGAGCACCCGTACCTGCCGCTCGTCACCGACGAGGACAGCTGGTACAGCAAGTGGCACAAGATGGAACAGAAGTTCCGCATTGTCTACGCGCAGAAGGTGCGCGGCGCGCGGCGCGGGCGGGGCGTGGGCGGGGCGAGCCCGGCAGGAGGCGGGGCGGGCGGCCGCGGGGACCACCTCCTCTCGCCGCCCGAGCTGAGCCGGCGCCCCGCAGGGCTACCTGGAGGAGCTGGTGCGTCTGCGCGAATCGCAGCTGAAGGACCTGGAGGCGGAGAACCGGCGGCTGCAACTGCAGCTGGAGGAGGCGGCGGCGCAGAACCAGCGGGAGAAGCGGGAGCTGGAAGGCGTGATCCTGGAGCTACAGGAGCAGCTGTGAGTGCCGCCGCCGCAGCCCTGACCCTGGTCCCCCGCCACCCCGACCACATCGCCCCCGCTGACTCTAACATCACCTTTCCTGATACCAACCACCAACATCAAACCACTGAGCCCGGTACCGCCACCCTGAGATCCCCCTCCCCGGGCGACCTAACTTTATTCTCAACATAAAACCCGCACCACCCCCCACCTCTACCCCCGCCCCAAGCCGGCTCCCCACTTCACCCTCAGCTACCCGACACCAGCTAGAATGGCCACTCAACAGTACTCCTGGGATTCCCGCACTACAGCAGCCCCAGTATTACTCACAAGCATCTCTAATTAATAGTATTCAACGCCCTTCAACATGATTGCATCATTCCCTCTGTTCAACACGTCTGAACGTAGGCCCACTGAGCATCATCACTCACAGTGACCCCTGACCTCACCTCTGCCCATCCTTCTAACAGTTTCTCTTTAAACGTTTTCATTACCCTGAGGCCTCCCAGCATGATCCCGACACCCCATTACTCTTCATGAACCCCGCATTGCTCTGCACCGACCTGCCCACCACCCTGACTCCCCTGACATCTCATTATTCCGCTAAACCCCAACATAATTGCACTAATTCCTATCACCCCTGTGACCCCCCAGCACACTCCACTGACTCTCAACATTCATACCCAGGTTTCAATCCTAGCCCCTCCCCCCATCTCTCTCTGAGCCCCTCCTTCCCCACTTCTGCTCCCTCTTCCAGCCAGGCCTGACCCCCCCTCCCCATCCCAGGACAGGTCTGATCCCTGGTGACCACGCTCCCCTGGCCCAGGGTTCCAAGGACCTCACCACACGCCTGGTCAACCAATGGCCATCACTGGGCACGCTCAGTGGGGCCGAGGGTGCCAACAACCCCAAGCTCTACCGGAGGTAAGCCCCAGCCAGACAGCCTGGTCCCAGCAGCCTGGCCCCAGCCTGCTCTCCTACAGAAGAGGGGCGCTAGGGGCTGTGGGCCTCTGTCCGCCCACCGGCTGTCTCTGCTTTGCCACAGACACAGTTTCATGAGCACGGAGCCCCTGTCTGCTGAAGCCAGTCTAAGCTCGGACTCCCAGCGCCTCGGAGAGGGCAAGCGGGACGAGGAGCCCTGGGGTCCCATCGGTGAGCCCCCCAATCCAGCACCCAGTACCCACTCCAGAAGGGCTGAGGCCAGGCCTTGGGGCTTATAGTCAGGCCCTGGCCACATTCCTCGTTCAATCAACCCTGCCTGGGAGCTTAGCACAGCAACTGAGAGCTTGGTTTGGGGTGTCAGGCAGACCCTGGCACAAATCTCAGCCGCGCCTTCTCTGGTTGTGGGAGCTTGGTCATTGAATCCACCTTGCTGAGCCCTTCTCATCTGTAAAATGGGGATGCTGATTAGAACAGTCACCAGTGTTGGCAAATGGTGAGGGCTCCGTGATCCTCAAAGGCCCCACAGATCCTTTGGGAGTTCTTTGCCTAACTATTTTGCTCTTATTTCTTGCGCTCTATGAACCAGTTGCCTGACCGTTGTTTCCCCCTTCTCTTTGGCTGCCAGGAAGCTCAGAACCAAATTAGTGGCTCCCTTCAAGCGAATGTCCAGGACTTCAACGCATGCATTTTGTGTTGCCCTCCCTCCCTGGCTTCACCTGGCTTTCCCACCCTAGTTTCCCTGGTGCCTGGACCACCTGTCTTTTCTTTCTAAAATCCACACCGCACTGGATGACCCTAGAACTTCTCTGAGACGAGGCAGGCTATGGACCGTGGAACCCCGCCACACTGTGTCTGTGATTGTCTGTGTGTCTGTCTCCCCACCAGACTGTGAGCTCCGTGAGGGCAGGGACCGTGTCTCGTCCGCTCTCTGTATCCCCCGCGCTTGGAACCGAACAAGTGCTCACCACGTGTTTAATAAATGGACAAAGAGAGGATGAACCCTCGGGGGGAGACAGAGACATAAACTGACGATTACAATACAGTGTCTGTCCCCAGCTCTCTGCATGACAGCCGCAGGTGCTCTTCCCCGATTTCGGTTTCGCTGCAAAAGGCTGGAGTTCCAGGAATGAGGGTCTCCTGGCGGGTGACCCGAGGGCTATCCCTTCACTGCCTGCACCCGAGCACCGCCCACCACTCACTCCCGGCCTCACCCGCCCTCTCTCCCCAGGGAAGGACCCCACGCCCTCCATGCTGGGCCTCTGCGGCTCCCTGGCCTCCATCCCCAGCTGCAAGTCCCTGGCGAGCTTCAAATCCAACGAGTGCCTGGTGAGCGACAGTCCCGAGGGCAGCCCGGCACTGAGCCCCAGCTGAGGAGCGGCGTGGGCAGTGCCAGCCCCACCTGCCGCCCTCCCTCAGAGCCTTCCCAGCCCAGGCCACCCTCCAGAGAACGCTGCCCACTCAGCCAGGAGTCTCTCTGGAGACACCCTTTGCTTCTAGCCCAGTTCAGCTTCTCGCCCACAGAGGCCCGAGCTGCAGAGAGAGGCCGCTGGGGCCGAGGCAGGGGCACCGAGGCCACGGGGACCCTCAGGAAGCTGCTTCTTCTGGTGACCCCGATGCCTGGTTAGCTCCCAGCAGGACTCTCCTTCGCTCATCGCCCCACCCTCCTCGGGGGCTGGCGGCCCAGCCTCAGCAGCCCCACGTCCCATGCCTCTTCTGTCTGTCCCTGTGTGTGCCCTGGAGTCACTCCCTCCTCAGCCCCCTGGCTGGGGGCGGGGGCCAGCTATGAGGGTATCAGGCAAATAAAAACCAGAGGACTGAGGGCGGCCTTGTCTGTGGAGGGGCTGGGACAGGGGGCCCGGTCCTGAGGTTGGCAGAATATGGTGGAGTTAGTGCTGGGCCCATAACCAGGTGATGCTGGACCTGCTAAAACCTGGGAACAGACTGGTTGGAGTAATTCATTGAGCAGGTGGCTTTGGTATGAAGTGTCTGAAATAGTAGGTCAGCCCAGGGAAACCCCAAAATGTGTTAAGGGCCCCTTGGATGGCTCATCTACCCCAGGCAGAGACGATGCTGGACATCCTGGGCAGAGAGTAGGGGGGTGGGGCAGAGATGGAGAAGGCAAGCCCTGGCACAGCCCCATTTCCCATCCATTACTGAGCAATTCAGCTTCAGCCTACAGGTCCAGACCCTTCCATTAAGCCAAGGCCTGGCACTGAAGCCACCTTCCTTCCTGGGTTGTCATTAAGTGTGCCCTTGGGTAAAGGTCTCACCCCCAGCAGCTCTCATGACACTGCAGGAGGGCTTCTCTACAGGGATGCCACCTGGGCGGCCAAAGCCAACGTCAAGATCCCTTCCAGGCCTCTTCTGTGCAAATCGCTCATCAAGCCCTGCTTTCCCACCCACCCCAGACACCTCCTGCAGTCACAAGCACTGAAAAGAGGTTTATCATCTTTAGACTCAACAAATTAACAGGGGTGGGTACAGACTAGGCCAGGCCCAGGGTTTTGTGGCTCCTAGAGACAGGCTCACTTACAGCAAACCCACAGGGAAATGAGGGGAGAAGTGAGCAGATTTGGTCTTGAACTTGAGGGAAGAGAGTGATGATTCTCGGGGCTGGGGAATGGGAAACAGCAGGAAGTAGTCAGGGGGTTTGGGGGGGGAGCTCTGGGTGGGTGCAGAGGGGCATTCCTCCCACCCCTAGGGCTGAGTGGGGAGGAAAGAGAAATGAGGCCCCTCCCCTCAGTGCTGAAGGAAAAGGCACTTGGCTCAGTCTCCTCCTGCCCCACCCTGTCCACAGAAGAGGTGGGGTCCTTGTCCCCTCGCTTTCAAGGGCTCAGAAGCTGTTCCCTGTTGAGCCTCTGGAAGAAGCTTTTGCCGAACTCATAAGTGCTGATCATGATGGCGCAGGAAGGGGCGGCCTTGATGATCCTTGGGAGGAAGCCTGCAGTGGGAGGGGGAGGCTAGGGTCAGAGGTTGAGCCCCAGGGAGCACCAACTTCACCAGGGTGTGGACACACACACAAAGATGCCCACCTGCAAAGAGGCCCCTGGTGCCTGACTCGGCCAGGATCCTCCGTAGCAGCAGCCAAGTAGAGTCAGCGTGCGGGGGCATCACTGCAAATCCAGGTGTGGCCCAATAAGACCCCGCTGGGCACCCCCAACCCTGCCTGCCCTGCCCGACACAAGCCAGGGCTCCTCACCTCTCACAGCCTCCACTGCTCCTAGTGCGATCTGGCGTTGAGTCTTCACCACGTCGAAGGGTAGAGTCAGGGTGGCTGCCACCTGGTGGGGTGGGAACAGACTTGTCTCCATTCCCAGGACCCCCATCCCTTGCATCCAACCAGGGCCTCCTGGCCTTAGCTAGAACATCACTAGGGGAATGGAGTGTGTGTACCCATGGAGAGGCACACAAAGATTCTTTTCCAGAGCATCTCCAACAACCCTCTGGTCACCTCAAGGACACGTCAATGGCCTCACTCCCACCATGATCGACTCACCATCCCTGAGATGCCGCCAGCGACAAAGCTGATGCCCACGGAGGTCTGGTCCTTTGGCCTGAGCCTGCTCAGCCAGCTCTTCACCAGCTCATAGTTGAACCAGTACAGAGCTTGGGGGCACGGGGATGCACTCATTAGAGACTGGGAGGGCAGTGGGGTAGGCCCAGACCTCCCATTTCCCACGGACCTACATCACAACTACTCCCTCCCAATTATGAAGCCTGCATGCTATGTGCCAGTGGATTTCACAGGCCCTGGGCAGGAAGCGTCTCATGAAAATGTGGGGCCCACTTCACATGTGAGATGGATACTCACAGCTCAGAGAAGTTACATGACTTATAGATTAGTAGTAGCAAAACTGGGGCTTAGCTGTAGACCTCCTGGGGCCCCTCACCTCAACCCCTGCCCTCCAGATGCCTACCTGAGAAGGGCACATCCCGAAGGGCAGTGGGACCCCAGCCCAGCCAGAGTGAGCGCCAGCCACCCTGAGCCACAGCCGCTCGGACACAGGTGCCCAGCTCCCGGTATGACAAGTGCTGAGCCTGCAGCTTTGTCCGCACCAGCTCCAGGGGGCTGATCACAGTCACGGTGCCCACTGTGGGGAACGGGAGGATGAGTCAGCTCACAGGTCCCAGAGGCAGCCGTCCCAGAGTCCGGGGGCCTTAAACATCCCTCCACCCCAAGGCTGGCAGAGTTTGGGAGTCCGGACTGGGCTCCTGCACTGGGGGGGGGTGGTCAAAGGGAGACGGCGGGCCCAGGACTGTGCTCACGGCGGGCCAGTGCGCCAGCCACCATGGGAGCGTAGAGGTCAGAGGTCAGGGCTCGATCACACAGGAAGGCCTTGAGTTGGTCGTAGGCGGTGAAGTAGACGGCAGTGGCTGGCACAGTCATCACCCTGGGGGTGTGTATAGGTTAGCCAAGACTCTCTAAAGCTCCCAAACCTCCCAAGGTTCCCTGGCCCCACTCAGCCAGCCAACACTGGGAATAAGAGGTTGGAATGGGGGGGATCAGGGGGAGGAAAGCCGCAGAACTGGGGTGCTCACAGCGTGGCTGGGAGGCCGCTCCACAGGGTCCTGGTGCCCTCATGACGCACAATCTTCACAAAAGCATCCTGGTCACGCAGACACCAGCCCAGAAGGAGGAAGGATGAAATGAACAAAGCTTGTGGCAGGGCTGGCCCAGGCTGGGCCCTCACCTGATGCCCTCGCTTCTACCCAGGAGCCCCTCAGGCCTCCACACATGTAACTCCCTATATGACTCCAAACAGACTCCTATTCAGGCTTCCCAGGTAGCACTAGTGGTAAGAATATGCCTGCCAATGCAGGAGACATGAGACATGGGTTTGAGCCCAGGGTTGGGAAGAGATAACCTGGAACAGGAAACAGCAATCCACTCCAATACTGGTGCCTGGAATATTCCATGGGCAGAGGAGCCTGGTGGGCTACAGTCCATGGGGTCTCAAGGAGTCGGACACGACTGAGCATGGAACAGGAGGAGGGACTCCTAATCACCTTTCAAAACCTTGTGAAGACCATGCCCCCTCGGGGAGCCCTTTCCAAAATGAACTGGCCATCTCTATGTACTTTAGGCTACCCACTGTTTTCTGGATCTACTGCCCTACCAATCTGTATCCCTCCGAATGCCTACAGACCCATCCAGGGCACAGCTGCTCCTCACCATGGTACCAGTGAAGCGAGTGGGGTCCTGAAACCAGGTGGCACAGCGGGCACCGTTTGGGCACAGGTAGAGGGGCTCTAGGACACCACTGCAGTACAGGAGGCACTTCCCTGTGGATCGGAGAGAGGAGGGCACTGGGGAAGGGTGGGGGCGTCAGAAAGACAGGGCCCTGGGACCTCACAGGGAGGTGGTGAGCTCCCATCCCTGGAGGGCCAGCGGAGCCTGGGGTCCCTGGGTGGACATTCTAGTGTAGGACAGAGAGCTGACTGATAAGATCTAGAAGTGTGTGCCAGTCCATGGCTGTGGGACCCCCATGTGCCCTGAGAGACCCCCTCCCCTGAACCCTTACAGGCTCCCCGTGGTGCGGGCACTCACATTTGGCGTAGGAGAGGCTCCAGAGTCTGGAGGGAGGCATCAGCTCTAAAACACAAGACGGTACCTCAAGTCAGAAGTGGCCCCCACCTGCCCCCAGGCACCCCATCCCTGGGGAACCCTGCACCCCCACAGGCTCCAAGGTCAGGCACTCACCACTGGCCATTGAGGGGCGCTGAGACTGCAAGCGTACCTTCACCACATCCAGGGGGGTCACTAGGGGAGGAGGGCAGGACTGGAGGCTCCTTCAGGACCCCTCCCTGACCCCTCAGCCACAGCCAAGTCACTTGTCAACATCTGGTCTGCCCCAGCCCCCAGCTGCTCCCACCCCACCTCCCCAGGTCTTACTGAAGAGGGAGGTGACCACAGCCCCCGCACCGGATGCCACCATTTGTTGGAGGGGGCTAATGCCCCCTGGGTCCTGGTCAGCCATCTTGTAGCTTCAGTTCTGAAAAGCAAGTGTCAACTGGAGCAAAGGGACACTACGGGGACTCTCACCCCATTCACTCACTGAGTATGAGTTTATCACAACCACTTTCTAAAGCAGTTATTCTCAGCTTCCCCTTGCTGGGGGCGTGGGGGTGGGGAACATGCTCAGAGAGGTGAGTTGACCGGCCCAAGGTCACACTGGGAGTAGTCAGCAAGGAAACTGGGAGAGTCACCCATCAGTTAATGGACAATAACGGCCCACCACCATTCCCTCTCCCTCGCCACACTGGCATACTGTGATCCAGTTCAGTGCAGGTGCCCTGGAAGGCCTGGGGACCAACGATCAAAGCGCCTGAGCCGCCCCCCTACGCCCCCCACTCCAGCTCCCAGGCCCGAGATGGGTGCATGCGAGCCTCGAGTCGCACAGCGTGGATAGGTGAGGCCGGGCAGTGAGGGAAAGGGAACAAATCTGAGGGCGGAGAAGGGCCCATCCCCTTTCCTGGGACTGAAAGGGAGGACTCCCAGACCTCCCCCGCACCCGTCCTCTCGAGGCCCGAAGGGTAAAGACAAATTTATCTAATCTCTCTCGCGAGCGGGGGCGGTGGCGGGGGCGGGAGGGGCGGTAGGCTAGGCCCAAAGTGCTTGAAGTAGGGATAGGACGACAAGATCGCTCTTCACCCCTCAGAGACATTCTGTTCCGACTCCTCGCGCAGGGAGCGCCCGGTGGGGCCGACTATGTCGGCCCGCGACTCCCGGCCCCCAGCCCAGGCCCGCCCGGCTCAGGCTCCCTCGGACCCTTAGAGACCCAACTCCCGCCTCTGCCTCCCTCTTGGCCCTCAGCCTTGGTCCAGTCCCGCCCACCTGGCTCTAGGCCGGTGCTCGAGCGGCGCGGTGCCCGGGGCCGGGCGGGCCCATAGCGGCTCCGCCGCCGGTGCGGGCTCCGCGCGCGCTCACTCAGCACCGAGGCCGACTCGGAAAGCGGCCGAGCTCGCCCCGCCCCCGGTTGGCCCAGTGAGGCCCCGCCCCCGCGGGCCGACCGACCGTTTGCCCGGAGTGACGCCGGCCCGCCCACTCGCGGCCTCCTCCGCGTCTCGCGCTAGCCCGAACCCGCGCGGCCGATGCCCAGTCCCGCCCGCGCGCCAAGGTCGCGTGTCTCCACGCCGCGCTCGACCTGGAGACAGCGCTGTACTTGAAAACTTGTTCCCAACACCACCCCACCAGTACCCAGGCAGAGCGCTGCTCCCACAAACTATCCAGACGAGCATGGGTAACGCACTCTCCCCGTCTTCTTCATTCGCGGGCTGGAAGAGATTTGAATCAATTCTTCCAGGATCGCGAGGGCGGTCAGACAGTGATGGCAAACATCAACCCACCCGGCTCTTTGTTGAGGTTTTTACAACTTCATGATGACCGTATCAAATAGGGTCGTCCCCGTTTAATACAGTCCACCGAGGTTGCAACGCCAAAACCACTTGACAAACTGCGGGGTACCACGCGGGTGTTGGCGATGGAGTTAACGAGTAAGCAACTGAAGTCAGACAAGCTGGCCCGGGAGCCCCCGGGAGATCTGGGTTTAACCTGGGCTTCGTCCCACCTCCTTGTGGGGACCGACATTTCTGTGTTGGTTACTCTCACAAAACCTATTTCTACGTCTCAACAGTTTTAGAAATAGATTATTATTCGCCTTCCCCATTTTACGGAAGACGAAAATGAGGGTCAAAGTTAAGAACCCGGAATTCGAACTGGACAAATACCAAACCCCTCCCCTCAAATTGCCTCTCCAGGGTGACAGGTTGGCGTAAATCCTCTAACGACGTCTCCGATCCCGCTTCTCAGGAGACTCATTTTTCTCCCGGGCCAGCCCCATTAGCCGAGACCCCACCAACTGCCTCGCCTTTAAAACTTTTCGTTCGCTGATTATTTATTCTAACAGAAAAACGAACACGGGCTATGAGCCTGCACCTTTAAGAAGGGTAGGCCATGACTCTGACGTCATTTGCTTCTCCGCCCCTCACCCTCAGAACGGTTGCTTCCCGGCAGGGAGTAACCCAGCCAGCCGGTGCACGCCGGATTAGCACGTGGATTCCATGGGGCCAACCATGCGCTTTCCCTGAGAAAAGGCTTTGCGGTTCTCTAAGGCTAGGAAGCCCGAAGTGGGGGGCAGGGAGTGACCGTTGAAGTGCTGCTGGTCTAAAGGGCCCCGAGAGAAGGAGCCATTTATATTCCCTTCTTATATAAGTGAATTTTGAAACGACAAAAAATCATTTTATAAACTGTCAGGGAGAGAGCTCAGCCCCAATTAAGGTCCTTTACCGCCTTAAAGACATGACTTAAAAACAGTTTCACAGCCATCAACCAAGAGATATCTCTTCCCATTTTACAGAGGAGGAAACTCAAGTCCTTGTGTGTAAATGACTTCTGGTGTGGAGTAGAACCCAGACTTCTCCCATGCACTCTTCCTATTTTACGGTGAGAAAATGAGGACCCTTGAGGTCAAGTTGCATCAAAATCAAATGAATGCAAAAGCTAGAGTTCAAACCCCCACCTTCCTCTGTCCAGAGGACCTCCCACCCCAGGCCATTCTCAACCAGGGCTCTCTGCTCCCTGCAAAGGTTTACTCAGGCCTTAGGTCCCAAGATACAGCATGTGCAGGCCCGCACCACTTACCTGCCTCAAGATCAGAGTTCTGGGAGGCCAGGACCAGGTTCCAGTCTGAGCTGCCTCCTGCAGCAGCTGTAGGACATCTAGCAAAAATCTAGGGGTCTTTAAGCCATTTATAAAATTAGCTGATGGGGATCAAAATACCTGCACCTCCCAGGAATTTTGCATTTAATGAGTTAATAGCTCTAAAGTACAGAGAGCCCTGTCTGGCATGTGGCAAGCAGTCAGTGACTGTTACCTATTACTGCTGTTGTTTAGTTGCTAAGTCCTCTCTGACTCTTTGCAACCCCATAGACTGCAGCCTGCCAGGCTCCTCTGTCCATGGGATTTCCCCGGCAAGAATACTGGAGCAGGTTGCCATGTCCTTCTCCAGGGGATGTTCCCAACACAGGAATCAAACCTGTGTCTCCTGCATTAGCAGGTGAATTCTTTACCACTGAGCCACCTGGGAAAAGCACTATTATTATTCATTGTCCCCTCCCCTGTGGCACAGAAATTTCTGGAAAGGGTCTTTAGAGCAACCAGGATTCTAATCCTACTTCTGCCTCTAAATGCAGGCACAGATAGTGATGACTCCTCACATGCCTTCTTCCCCAGAGCAACGTAGCTCAACCAGGAATCAAACCTGGTGATCTCTGAGCCTCAGTTTCCTTCACAATAGAAGGAGGGGCTTGCACTCCTTGCATTTCTGAGTTTCTTCTTGCAAAAGGATGCCTTTGAGGTTTGTCACTACCCTCAGTTTCCTCAACTGAAAATAAAGATGAGGTCACCTGCCTGCTGATTTACAGACTCTTAGCTAAAGACAGGTCTGTAAAAAGCTAAGTAAAGAGCCGACAAATAGTTCTGTGGCTCCGCCCAGAGCTGAGCAGATCACAGCCACTGCCATACCCTACAAGTAAATGCTTTGAGGCTGGGAAAACCTTGGGCACCGAAGGTCAGCACACTGGCCGCAGTGTGGGTAGCCGGGAGAAGTTATCTACCACTGGAGCTGATGGGGGTGCCATCCAAGGGCAATCAGAGCAACTTCAGGGTGGAGCCACAGCTTGAGATGCTCATAACTGTGGGGCCCTGGCTAGACTGGCCTGCCCTGAGAAGCAAGCCTAGAGTCCTGAGGAGGAGATGGCCACTGTCCTGGCTGATTCAGCCATGGTTCACACTGACCAGGCACCCAAAGGTCCTTCTAGAGGCAGCATGTGGCCCCATGTGGCCATCACTAGCCTCCTCGTCAGATGGAAAAAACAGATACTCCTTTCAACTGTAAAAGGGGAGAAAACAGTACCAGCGCCAGGGTTATCTCAGGGACTGATGGACAAGTCCTTGCCTGGCATTGGGGAAGGGATATAAACAAAAGATAGTTTATTGTGAGGCTCAGTTCTTCCAGGGCAAGCCCCAGCTTGCACCCCTAGGGCCTAGGAAGACATTTAGGGCCCTGAAGTAGGGCTCAGGTCCCTTCCAGGGACTCTACCAGCACGTCTGAGTTTAGAGCCAGAACTGTTCCCACCTAGAAGTGCCTTGCTGGAGGCCAGTCCCCAGGCTGCACGATCACAGAACCAGAGAAGAGAGATCCAAACCCTGGTGGTGGTGGCTTAGCTGCTAAGATGTTCTGACTCTTGTGACTCCATGGACTGTAGCCCGCCTGGCTCCTCTGCCGAGTTCTAGGCCCCCAGCTAAATGCCAAGTCAGAGCTTTGATTGAGCCCAGTGGGCAGGGAGGGGTGGGGAAGCTAGTACTGTATTGTGTATTGTTTAGTCAAACTTGACTCTTTTGCAACCCCATGGACTGTGTAGCCCACTAGGCTCCTCTCTGTCCTTGGGATTTCCCAGGCAAGAATACTGGAGTGTGTTGACATTTCCTTCTCTGGGGAATCTTCCCGACCCAGGGATTGAACCCACGTCTCCTACATTGGCAGGAGGATTCTTTACTACCAAGCCACCAGGGAAGCCCGGGGAAGTATGTATATGTGTACACATATATACGTATATAGTGCGAGTGGTTAAGAACCCACCTCCCAGCGCAGGTAAACATAAGAGACCTGGGTTTGATCCTGGGTCGGGAAAATCCCCTGGAGAAGGAAATGGCAGCCAATTCCAGTTTTCTTGCCTGAAGAATCCCACGGACAGAGGAGCCTGGCGGGCTGCAGTCCGTAGGGTCGCAAAGAGTCAGACATGATTGAAGGGACTTAGCACACATGTACACAATCAGAAGGCGACGAAGTTGGGAATTCCCTGGATGGAGGTCCAGAGGTTAGGACTCTGCTTTCACTGTGGAGGGCTTGGGTTCAAGCCCTGTTAGTGGAACTGTGCATAAGAAAAAACAAAAAACAACAAAACTGTCTTTCATTTT